AAATTTTCACGTCTCTATATCTTCCGTGAACGGAAAAATTGCTAAGTTTGTCATTTTTATGGTGGCCAAAAACGCTCTTGGATCACATGCATCACGTTGCTGTATGAAATAGTAACCCAATTTCAAGTCTGTACGAAGATTATCAACCGAGATATAGCTATTTTTTAAGAAATGACGGCGGCTATTTTTGAATTCAAGATGGCGGCCAAAAACGCCCTTGGATCACATGCATGACGTTGTTGTATAAAATAGTAACCCAAATTACGTCTGTCAGTCAATTTTCAAGTCTGTACGAAGATTATTATACAAGAAATGACGGCGGCCATTTTTGAATTCAAGATGGCGGCCGAAGTTGTAATTGGATCGCGTGTGTCTGTCCTGTCTTTAAATGAAAGAGCATACAAATGTATGCAAGTGTACCAATTTTCATACTTTTTTCACAATTTGAATGATTTGGCTGGTATCCTGACCTAACCGACTGTACTATTGCATCAATTCCAGTTTGCAAAATTCTTTACATCATCACTGAACCATTCTTCATCAAACTGCTGCATTGTACAATCATTTCTTTGTTGATGATCAAGTGGTTTGATATCTACTGCACTAGTCACATCTTCTTTGATTGTCATTGAGGCAAGGTTGTTAAAATTGTCACACTGTCAAAATAATGCAGAAAATAACTCTGTAGTATGAGACAAAGAATGTAGCCAAAAGTTAGGAAGAGATGAGTGGAGTAGGCAACTGATGAGTGCTAATACTCTGACTTGTGGTTAAATAGAAACTATGTGATACTTATGAGCACATTTTTAAAACTCAGTAATAACTGTTAATCTATCTATACACATTCAATCGTAATATATAAAATAATAAATTGGCAAAGAAAACTGTTTAATAAGGCTTATAATTTTAAGTCTACATATTCATTCTATGAAGTCCTGCCTTTTCATAACATTGGTCAGGCCTGAAAAGTGTTATTCATACTTCTCCGTCTGCCTCTGCCGTCGCAATAAGGGTATTCTCCGAATCATAAGCATTGTTTATTCCATCTTGAGTGCCTAACTGGTTGGGCTGAAAGTTGATTGTATATTAAAATAGAATAATCAGATATATAACTAATCATATTCTACGTAAAATGCAGTTGGCTGAAATCATGCTAATATAAGTAATATATGGTGCAATAGCAATTGAAGTAATCTGTAGCATGCATTTAAAAAAGTATATGAGCATATAAATCTCGATTCATCTAGATATTTTTTGTAAATAGACTGTAAATATACTGGCCACCTTTATCGTTACTCCATCAGCCGGTGATTGAACTTGAAACCTATTGTTGGCAATGTGCCACATTGCCCTGGAGATCTCATGAACTGCTTCCTGCGATGATGATATCTTTAAAAAAGTGCTACATGTTAGAATTACTCCATGAATAATTGCTATGTATAAAACATAATATATAAAGTAGTGGTTTTTATTAAATTTGCAAAAAACAATGATTATTACTGGTATAGGTATGAGTTGGTAAATTTTTTCTCATGCTGCTAAATACAGCAACATCATGAACATGTGCTGTGTGCTGAAACGTCCAAGCAAGCCATTTCAGTTATCATTGATCAGGGTATTGGCTCATAGCCTCATACAAATGGTAGTGGAGGGCAAATAAATGCCACTTCTTGCACATAAAAAAATTATTATAAATTTTGCATATAAACTTTAGGATTCGATCTTACACTAAAAGCTGTGAAGCAGTTTTCCCTGAAGCTGTCATTAGAACTAAGTGACAGAATCTTCCCAAATGCTTTAGAAGCTACTCCGATAAAAAGATTGCATCGAGCTTCTAGGTGCTGGTAGTGGTATCTGTCTTCCCTTGTATCTGTGGCATCCATCACTGCATACAAACATTTATCTAGTAACGTTTTTTAAATAATTTATCAATACTAGTACAGACTTCATCAAGGGAAGTTAATCAATAGAACTCATTAATAGAAATTGACCTAGCTGCATTAATTGCATGGGCAATAAATGTGAGAAGGAGAATATTGTTATATAAATATATACAAACACGTGTTTGTATTATATCTATGCCATGGACTGTTCATATAGAGTCATAGACTATCATTATGGTCATATGAAGTTGAAAGAACAAAAGCGTGAGGCTGGCAGTCTTTGCCAAAGAGAAGCCTCATTGTGGTTTCATAAAAATAATTCATGGCCACGACTACTAGTAGTAGTACAGTACTAGTAGTAGTAGTGTATGTATATATATATATATACAGTGTTTCCCCTGCATTGACACGAGCGAGGCGGGTCGCCTCGCTTAAATTCTCAGCCGCCACACAGAAATTTGTCCAAAACACCGCCTCGCTGACGAAACTTTTGACAACTTGAAAAAGAGATTCAAGAGTCTTATACAATGTGTTCAGAATAGCTTAGAATACACCAAACTGCACAATTTTTTCAAAAAAAATTTGGGGGGCATGCCCCCGGACCCTAGCTGGGCGAGCATAGCAGGTGCTTGCTTTGCTACAATGCTAGGACATCGAAACGTGCAAATACACCACACACAAATTTACCACCTCACAGACAAGTATTGCTCATAGTGTCTATGTCCCCCAGGGTACTGCCGGAACGTACCCTGGTAACTATCTGATATGGTTAGGGTTAGGGATAGGGTTAAGGAGTAGGCGTAGGCGACTCCCTAGACTCGTTAGTGGAGTAGGCGAGGTACGGTCCTATATATTAGATAGTACCAGGGAACGTTCCAGTATACCGGACTGTACCCAGGGTACGTTCTGGCAGTACCCTGGGGGACATAGATCCTCTCAGCACAAGTATTTCGGTGTCACTTTCACCCGGGCGTAGAGGGAGGGTGCCGCTACGTGGCAGCACTAGTGTTAGGATTAGGGTAAGGGTTAGAGTTAGGGTTAGGAAAATAAGGCCATGTCTAGCATGGTAGTATGACTATGAAATGACGGAAGTGTACGAAGTGACTAGTGCTGCCACGTAGCGGCACCCTCCCTCTACGCCTGGGGAAAAGTGACACCCCAAGTATTTGGCCCGGTGAAACACTATATATATATATATATATATGTGTGTGTGTGTGTACTGAAAATAATTAATGGAGTCTAGGATAAAACACATGAATGTATACTACTTCAGTAGGCCCTAGGTACTTGTGAAGCTCTTGGTAACGGTAGGCCTAGATATTTACAAGTTACAACGCAACAGTATGTACTATTTCGGTAGGCGTGCTAGTAAATGCTAAGCAGCCTCTGTGTTGAAACGTATGCGGTATGGCACTATATCCAGCTCGATAAATTCCATATAATCAGAAGAACATAGAAATATATATAAAGAAAATTCTCTGAATTCAATACACTGTGTGGCCACCACACTGCACACACAACAGCGTAACCAGCGAACACAGCTTCAAAAAAATATTAAAATATTAAAGAGGTTATCACGTGTGTGGCTGCCGGACGCTCGTTGGTCGTGTTAATCGTAGCGGCGGCGCTGCTATCGTTCTCAGGTAAATAATGCCGTGAGCCGTCGTCTCTTTCCGTGTTTCTAACTCTGTAGCGGCGACTTTTACTTTTAGTCATTGCGTTGTTGTAGTCAAGTACTGTAGGGCCTAATGTCTTGTTCAGGTAGCGCTTAATTATACGCTCGAATACAGCATTTAGAGTTACCCGTGATTGACCCAACACTCGTTGACATGAGTTGTAATAATAATAGAGAGTTCCGACGACAACAACAAGATTTATAATTATAAACATCCGCAATAAACATGATGGTGAACGAGAATGAAGAGAACAGTAAAGGATTCCGAAAGGTATGTTACTGTTACTGAGTGTTAGTGTTAGCATTGTTAAAGGCCAAGACACACTGCAGCGACAGCGACCGACCTATCTCTAGTACTAGTAGTACTATAGTATAGTACAGGTGCGGGCGGAGCTACGTCACAGATCAGTAGTCACGTGACCACCAGCAGAACGCCGGTGAAAACAACACGATCGCGTCACTGGCGCCCATAGGATTACTGCATTATGCATAACGATACGAATTATCCGTCACTTGCACGCACACGCACACACAGTGACACACTCACACGCACATGCACTCGCACGCACAGTGACACACGCATACGCACACTACACGCACACGCACTCGCACGCACAGTGACACACGCACACGCATACGCACACTACACGCGCACACACAAGGACACACAAACACGCACGCGCGCACACGCACACAGTGACACACTCGGATGCACACACACACGTACACACAGTGACACACTCACACGCACACGCACACACGGTGACACACAAACACGCACACGCACTCGCACTCGTACACACAGTGACACACTCACACGCACACGCACACACGGTGACACACAAACACGCACACGCACATGCACTCGCACACACAGTGACACACTCACACGCATGCACGCACGCGCGCACGCACACACACACGCAGTTATAACATAGTAGTTATACCTGTCACGAAATGATCAGAACAAATAGTGGAGAATTTTGACGGGACTCCAGTGCATACCATTTACATTTACTCATTTACTCATTTACATTTAAAGGCTCAAAATGCGCATCCAAATGCTAATTTCTCCAGTACTAGACTAGCAAATACTTCGTGTCATGCATAATCACACTACCTTATGACAAAATAAACTCTAGTTGCTCCCATTTCACTGCGCTTTTGCTTAAAACCCACAAGAAAGAGGTGAGAAAACTGGCATTCTGGCGCAAACGCCGACTGTTTGCCAAACAAAATAGCCTTGAAGTGGTGACGTGACGTCACATGTTTTTATCTTTGTTGCGCCCGTACCGCAGCCCCGCTGCACGGTTGCTTGGGGATTGGGGAAAATGTCAACAACATCGGAGAATTTCAACAACATTGGAGGTATTTTCAAAATACCTTTTATAAGACAACGCGCAGTGAAATGGGAGGAACTAGAGTTTATTTTGCCATAAGGTAGTATGATTATGCATGACACGAAGTATTTGCTAGTCTAGTACTGGAGAAATTAGCGTTTGGATGCGCATTGTGAGCCTTTAAGTGGCAGTCAGCCACTTATGACTTATCACGCCTCTCTGGACTCTTATGTCATTTTGGCAGCTCAAAAACATATCTTTTCTTATCTGTGCAATATATATGATTGTGACAACCTACTACTACACAAGTTTTCGGCATATATGCAAGGAAATTAGTATGCTTTTGGTTTGGAAATGGGGTATTGCGTGTGTAAGCTCACTGAGACAGGCTGTTGTTTTCACCGGCACAGCTGGTTGCTAGGTTAAGAAAGTCCCGGATGTGGCAAAGTTCCCGGCTGTCCGCCCGCACCTATAGCCTGCGTACAGTTGCCAGTGGCAACTGTACGCGGGCTATAGTACTAGAGCTACGACCGACCGTAACGGCGTAACGACAAACTACTTTTCAGAAAATTAGAAACTATTTTTTCCTATGAGCCATTGCACACACACACGCGACAACGACCGGCGACAACCTCGACAACAAAAATATTTAGGAACGTTTAGACTATTCTCCAGCGACAGTCTGAGGTCGGCATATGTTTCCATGAAACAGAGTATCTGCGTGACGTCAGTGTACGTCACGCACGAACTCGGCTATCTCCGAAGTTGAATGCATACAGCTATGGGGCGCCAAGTGTCGCATGACTGATTTCGTTACGAAATAATGATTTTGTAACGAAATCAAGTCTACAAAGTGATTTCATTACGAAATCAACTACTGCGAGTGATTTCGTTACGAAATAATGCTACACTTGGCGCGCAGATACACGCAGGTACACGCGGGTACACGCGGGTACACGCACGTACACGCAGATACACGCGGGTACACGCATGTGCACACGGGTACACGCACGTACACCCCTGCTACACTTGGCGCCCCATAGATTTCGTTACAAAATCATTGATTTCGTAACGAAATCAGTCATGCGACACTTGGCACGCCGGCGCGCCAAGTGTAGCATGATTTCATAACGAAATTACTCGCTGTAGCTGATTTCGTAACGAAATCACCTGCAGTAGCTGATTTCGTAACGAAATCACTCGCAGTAGTTGATTTCGTAACGAAATCACTTTGTAGACTTGATTTCGTTACGAAATCAATGAGTGGTGAGCTAGTGCGTGGAATAGAACTAGTAAATCAGTGAGATAGTGCGTGGCAAGTGCTGGGTGAACTTTGACCTAACGTCGGTCGCTGTCGCTGCAGTGTGTTTGCGCCAGTCGCCGCGACTTTTGTCGTTACGGTCGGTCGCTGTCGCTGCAGTGTGTCAGTCT